ACCCAGATGTCTGCACCGGGAGCTGCCCTGTGTGTGGGGTGTGTGCGCTTCTTCAACCTGAGGCGGACTCGCCCACACAGAGCTGCTGGGGACAGCACGCAGGGCCTTTCCTGGATCAGTCTGTGCTGGGCAGACTCGAGGGAGCTCAGTGCCAATGCTCCAGGGCTTCCTGTCTGCTGACATGCTGTCAGGATCAGGAAGGGAGGTGTCTTGGCATCAGGAATATTTTTCATACCCCGTAACAGGTGCTGCGGGGACTCCCACTCCTCTGGTCCTCATGCTACTTGAAATGTGGCTCGGAGAAAAGAAGCACTGCTCTTGGCACTTGGTATCTGAAAGTGAGTGTCCAAATATAGGGACAGTGTCTGGGGAGGCAGACAGGTTCTTGTGGTTTCTGTGACCATAAAGACAGGTTAAGTCTTCTCTGCAGCAGCCCTGTTGTAAGCCTCATTGTGAGCAAAGTTGTTGTTCAGTTGCTCAGTCATGTCTGACTCTGTGTGACCCCATGGGCTGCAGCACGCCAGGTTTCCCTGTCTTTCACTATCTCTTGGAGCTTGCTCAAATTCATGTCCATTGAGTCAGTGATGCCATCCAACCATCTCATCCTCTGACTTCCCCTTCTCCTCCTGCCTTCAATCTTTCCCAGCTTCAGGGTCTTTTCCTGTGAGTCAGTTTTTTGCATCAGGTGGCTAAAGTACTGGAGCTTCAGCTTCAGCATCAGTCCTTCCAGTGAACATTCAGGGTTGATTTCCTTTAGGACTGACTGGTGAGCCAAGTGGTGGGTGTGTTAGTATCCCAGGACTACTGTAACAAAGTACCATAAACTGGGTAGTTTAAACAGCAGAAATGTATTGTCTCCAAGTTCTGGAAGCTAGAAGTCCAAAATCAAAGTGCTGGAGGGACCACACTCCACTGAAAGTGGCAGGAGGTCCTTCCCTGCCCCTTTCCAGCTCTGGATAAACTGGGCCAGTGTCCTGCCAGTAGCCCTGTGCTCCTGTCTTGCAGCTGCCTCAGTGCAGCCCTGGCCTCAGCCTCCAGGTAGCTCCCTCCCTGTGTCTCTGTCTTCTTGTGAGGACACCTGTTATACTGGGTTCGGGGGCACCCTAGTCCAGTATGACCACAACTTACAATCCAGTATAATCCAGTACAGTAGAATCACACTTGTGATCTCCCAGTTTCCAAACAAGGTCATATTCTGAGGTACTGGGAGCTTAAAGATTCTAGCATGACCTATTTTGGTAAAAGATGCTTTTCTCCCATAACTATGTGTAAAGCAAAGAGCAGATTCTAGCACTAACTCTGCCACTAACTAGTCATGTAACTAGCATTTCCAAATCCCTGGACATTGGTTTGCTCATCTATAAAGTGTGGGAGCTAGAAAAGTTGACCTCTAAGGTCTTATTCTGTTAGCCTGAGAGTCAAGGGGCTGGGGCTTGGCCTCTGGTCATGCACCTCTGGCGCCTGGACATTGCTGTCAGGACAGGGTATGTGGCTTAACCAGGCTGGACACCATGCAGTTACCTTCCTGCCCTGACCCCGGTCTCCTTCTTCAGTCAGTTGTTAGCCTTTGAGGATCCTCAGGATCTGAGATTTCATTTATTTTACCTCTGTGCTGTCTGCAGTGATACAACAAAGAAAATTTTACGAGGGAGGAGGCAGAGATTTATAAACCAGAAACCATAGAACTAAAGGAAAAAACAGAGACAATGATCACAGCTCCAATAGGTTAACCATGGTAGGCTCCAAGTCTGCTGCTGGTGGAAGGGGACAAGCAAAATTATTGCCTCAGTTCTAAATGCAGATTGTCATGGCACCAGTCTTTTCCAGCAGATTATTTTGTTACATTGAAGTGGATTTGTTTATGAGCAGGTTCAGAGCTAAGTACTTCATAGAGAAAGTTGCTGGTGTTCTGAGTTGCAGATCATTTCCTTTAGAATTGCTTCATTCAGTGCATTCAGCTGCCCAAGTGACCATCCCTCCACTCACCTACCCGTGAAGGCCACTCAGATGGGATGCAGGGACCTCTCTTCCCTTTCTAAATAAAGTGCAGTGCTGTGAGTGTGACCTCAAGAGGGATCAACATACAGATGTTGCTAGCATACATCTTAGCATACAGATGGCCAATAGACATATGTGCACAACATCACTGACTATTACAGATATGCAAATCAAAAGCACAATGAGGTATCACCTCACACTCGTCAGAATTCAGTTTCAGTTCAGTTGCTCAGTCGTGTCTGACTCTGCGACACTATGGACTGTAGCACGCCAGGCTTCCCTATCCATCACCAACTCCTGGAGCTTACTGAAATTCATGTCCATCAAGTCAGTGATGCCATCCAACTGTCTCATCCTCTGTCATCCCCTTCTCTTTCAGCCTTCAATCTTCCCCAGCATCAGGGTCTTTTCAAATGAGTCAGTTCTTCACATCAGGTGGCCAAAGTATGGGAGTTTCAGCTTCAGCATCAGTCCTTCCAATGAATATTCAGGACTGATTTCCTTTAGGATTGACTGTTTTGATCACCTTGCAGTCCAAGGGGCTCTCAGGAGTCTTCTCTAACACCACACAGTTCAGAAGCATCAGTTCAGCACTTGGCTTTCTTTATAGTCCAACTCTCACATCCATACATGACTACTGGAAAAACCATAGCTTTGACTAGACAGACTTTTGTTGGCAAAGTAATGTCTCTGCTTTTTAATATGCTGTCTAGGTTGGTCATAGCTTTTCTTCCAAGGAACAAGTGTCTTTTAATTTTTTGGCTGTAGTCATCATCTTCAGTGATTTTGGAGTCCCCTAAAAGTAAAGTCTCTCACTGTTTCCATATCTCCATCATTAAAAGCTTACAAATAGCAAGTGCTGGAGATGGTGTGGAAAAAGGGAACAGTACACTGTTCGTAGGAATGTAAATTGATGTAGCCACTATGGAGAACAGTATGGAGATTTTTAAAAAGCTAAAAATAAAGTAGCCATATGATCCAGCAATCTCATTCCTGGGTGTATATCTGGAGAAAACTCTATAGTTCAAAATGAAAAATGCATTCCACTGTTCGTGACAGCACTATTCACAATAGCACAGACATCAAAGGAACCTAAATGTCCATCAACAGATGAATGGATAAAAGAGATGTGATATTGATACGTATATACAACAGAATGCTAATCAGCCATAAAAGAGAGTGGAATAATGCCATTTGCAATAACATGAATAGACCTAGAGATTATGATACTATTTTAAGTGAAGCAAGTCAGACAGAGAAAGACAACTATCACACAATATCACTCATATGTAGAATCTAAAAAAATGATACAAAGGCACTTATTTATAAAACACAAATAGATTCACAGACATAGAAAATAAACTTATGGTTATCAAAGGAGGGGGATAAATTAGTATGGGTTTAACAGATACAAGCTATGTAAAATAAGTCAGCACCAAGGATTTACTGTAGAGCAAAGAGAACTATGCTCATTGTCCTGTGATGACCTATAATGGAAAATAATGTGGAAAAAGTATATGATCGAATCACTTTGCTGTACACCTAAAACTGATACAATATTGTAATCAACTCTACCTGAATAAAAATAGGATTTCACAAACAAATTTTAAAAAACATTTTATAAAAACAACTATCCATCATCTTTTTCAAAAGTAGCATTATTGGGTTATATTTTGTGTACCATAAAACTCTCCCATTTAAAATGTGTCAATGGTTTTTAGTGCTTTCACAGTATGGCATATTAATATTCACAGTATATGTGACCCACATACACACAGGATAACTGTCATACCAGATAGCTATAACAGTCTGAGTTTAGAGCATTTCATTAACTCTCAAACTAGCGGTCACTCCCAGTCTCTGCCAACACCTCCACTCCCTGCCTTTGACAATCACTAATCTACTTTCTGTCTTTACAGATTTCATATGCTGGATATTGCATGAAAATGAACTCATACAACATGTGATCTTTATGACTGGCTTTTTTCATTCAAGAGAATAATTTATAGGTTTATCATGTTATAGCATGTACCAGTGATTTAGAACATGTAGAGGAACCAGAGATCAAATTGCCAACATCTGTTGGATCATCAAAAAAACAAGAGAGTTCCAGAAAAACATCTATTTCTGCTTTATTGACTATGCCAAAGCCTTCGACTGTGTGGATCACAATAAACTGTGGAAAATTCTGAAAGACATGGGAATAGCAGACCATTTGACCTGCCTCTTGAGAAACCTATATGAAAGTCAGGAAGCAACAGTTAGAACTGGACATGGAACAATGACTGGTTCCAAATAGGAAAAGGAGTACGTCAAGGCTATATATTGTCACCCTGCCTATTAAATTATATGCAGAATACATCATGAGAAATGCTGGGCTGGAGGAATCACGAGCTGGAATCAAGATTGCTGGGAGAAATATCAATAACCTCAGATATGCAGATGACACCACCCTTCTGGCAGAAAATGAAGAACTAAAGAGCCTCTTGATGAAAGTGAAAGGAGAGTGAAAAAGTTGGCTTAAAGCTCAACATTCAGAAAACTAAGATCATGGCAACTGGTCCCATCACTTCATGGCAAATAGATGGGGAAACAGTGGAAACAGTGACAGACTTTATTTTTTTTTGGCTCCAAAATCACTGCAGGTGGTGACTGCAGCCAAAAAATTAAAAGACACTTGCTCCTTGGAATTAAAGTTGTGACCAACCTAGACAGCGTATTAAAAAGCAAAGACATTACTTTGCCAACAGGGGTCTGTCTAGTCAAAGCTATGGTTTCTCCAGTAGTCATGTATGGATGTGAGTGTTGGACTATAAAGAAAGCTGAGCACTGAACAACTGATGCTTTTGAACTGTGGTGTTGTAGAAGACTATAGAGAGTCCCTTGGACTGCAAGGAGATCCAACCAGTCCATCCTAAAGGAAATCAGTCCTGAATATTTATTAGAAGGACTGCTGCTGAAGCTGAAACTCCCATACTTTGACCACGTGATGCGAAGAACTGATTCATTTGAAAAGACCTGGATGCTCGGAAGGATTGAAGGTGGGAGGAGAAGGGGACAACAGAGGATGAGATGGTTGGATGGCATCACCGACTCAATGGGCATGAGTTTGAGTAAACTCTGGGAGTTGGTGATGGACAGGGAGGCCTGGCATGCTGCTGTCCATGGGGTCAGAAAGAGTTCGGACACAACTGAGTGACTGAGCTGAACTGAGTGATTTAGCTTCTTTTTGTTGCTTAGTAATATTGCATGGTATGGATCCATCACACTTTATTCTTTCACCAGTGGAGGAACACGTGGGTTGTTTTCACTTTTTAGTTACTAAGAATAGTGCTGTTGTGAGCATTAGGAGTAATTTTTTATGTGGATTTGTGTTTTCATTTCTCTTGGGTTTACGTGCAGGAGTGGAATTCTGAGTCTTGTGGAAGCTGTATGTTTCACAGGTGGAGAAACTGTCAAATTTTCCAAAGTGGCCACACCATTTAAAAACTCTGCAGCAATATGTGAGGGCTGCAGTTTCTCCTAATCTCTGCATATGCTTGTTGTATTTTCTTTCGTCCTTTTGATGATAGCCATTCTAGTGGATATGGGGTGGCATCTCATTGTGCTTTTCTTTGGTATTTCCCTCATCATTACTGAGGTTGGGCACGTTTTCTTCTGCTTATTGGTCATCTGGAAGAAGATCTATTTAGATTCTTTACGCATTTTCAAATTAGGTTGTCTTTTTGTTATTGACTTGTAGGTATTCTTTGTATTATTCCAAACACAAATTCCTTATCAGACCTGTTTAGCAAATGTTATCTCCCATTTTGTGGGTTGTTTTTTCACTTTCTTGATGGTATTGTTTGTAGCACAAAAGTGTTTAATTTTCATGAAGTCTGATTTATCTATTTTTCTTTTGTCCCTTGTGCTTTGCTCAAGAAACCATTGTCTAAGTCAGGGTCACAAAGATTTGCTCTTATGTTCTCTTCTAAGCGTTTTACAGATTCAGCTCTAACGTTTCCACCTGTGGTCCATGTTGAGTTAATTTTTGTGTCTGGTGAGAGGTGGGACTCCATTTTCATCATTTATGTGTGGATGTCTATGTCCCACTACAGTTTGTTGCAAAGGCTGCTCTTTTCCCATTGAATTGTTTCAGCATCCTTGTCAAAATTCAGCAGACACAATTGCTTTTTATATTTTATATTACCTTGAAATTTTTTCATATTTAAACTGTTTCAGTAATTATGCATATATATATTTGCATCATGGTTTTTAATTTAATACAACATAAACATTTTCCAGATTTCTACAGAGAATTTCAATGTTTTTACTCCATCATTTTGAGGTATGGTATTTTACCAAACTGTTCAGCATCCTTGTCAAAATTCAGCAGACACAATTGCTTTTTATATTTTATATTACCTTGAAATTTTTTCATATTTAAACTGTTTCAGTAATTATGCATAAATATATTTGCATCATGGTTTTTAATTTAATACAACATAAACATTTTCCAGATTTCTACAGAGAATTTCAATGTTTATAATCCATCATTTTGAGGTATGGTATTTTACCAAACTGTTTCACTGTATTTTGACACATCCATTGCCACATTAACTTGGGGAAAAAAAATGAATGAAATTTTGATTGAGCTTGTAATAAAAATTTTGAAAATCAGCATCTTTTGACTTAAACATACAGGGAATAATAATATTTTCTTTCATCAAGGGAACTGAAGAAATGGAGGAATTTCTATAAAACTTCACCAGAGAAATAATGAGACGTAGAAACCTGCCAAATCTGGACAACATGAAGCAAACGTTCAGCAATACCCATAAGGACTCTTCTCACTCCCTCCTCCATCTTCTTCTCAAAATACTAGGAAGATGCTGATGCCAAAGTTAGCAGGCTAAGGTAAAAATTGGTGAGAAACCTATTTTGACTGTTACATAGAATTAGAAAATCCAGTTTAAAATAGAATCATGATTGGAGTTTTTTTTTTTTTTTTTTTTTGTGAGGGTGGTACTTAAGGTAGATCCAAGAGTCATGAGAATTCCTAAGTTTTTATTCCAGGTAAGTGAGAGGAGAAGAAATTATGCAAGTTCACTTTAACCAGATTGTGTCTTATACAGTTAACATTTCCTTTTGTTTCAAGGGATAGGAAAGGAAATTATAGAGAAGTAATAGAATCTAAACTTAAACAAGTAAAATTATTAGGAGTTTCTTTTCTTTTTTTTTTTTTAGTAGTTTCTCTTTGTGTCAGGCAAATTACCTAGACAAATCTTTAGCAAAAATAAAATGAAAACTAATTGATTAGGCAATGAAGGATCTATAGGTTATTCAGGAAAGAGCTTCTGTAAGTCCTTTGGGAACAAAACCATTTTACAGTGACTATGAACTAATAGGGTGAGGAGGCACCAAGGGTAAGATGAACCAAGAACAAGTGTGAGCAGAACATACAAGAAGGTGCATGGAGGACTGGCAGGAAAGTAGGCAGGGTGGAAAGTCAGAAAAATGAAATAAACCTAAACATCATTTGCATTGTTTGCATTAAAAATGCTGAGTTCTGATTTTTTTTAATGTTTCTCTTTTGGCAAGTTTTTAATTTCTTTTTTAAACTAAGAGGTCGTTGAAAGAGAGCTTCACTGGTAAGCAACACAGAGGGCAGAAATTCTATAGGAACCCACATATTTTGTTTTAGAATTATGTTTCTGTTTATAATTTTATAGACTGTCCATAAGTTTTGAGTGGTATGTGACGTTCTTAAGTCTATTTAAAGGTGTGTTAATTTTATCTCTTGCTCTAAAGCAAGTTATCCCTGACTTTTGTGGTTTTAGAACCACTATATCATGTCATTCATGATGTTGTGGGTCAGGAATTCAGAAAAGGCTAGGCTGGGTGAATTGTCTCTGGTCAGTTTGGCAGCAGCTGGGCCTGCAGGATCCACTCAAATCTGATTTCCCCATTCGCATCTGGGGCCTTGGTGCTGCCTGGCCTCTCTCTCTCCAGCATCGCATCTTCTGGGTCTTCTGTGTGCAGCGGGAGCCTCTCATGGACCATGTTCTCAGGGCTCCAGGACCCCAGTGCTTGTGTTGCTTGCTCAGGCTAAGCCCGGAGCTCATCCCTGGCATCTTGCTGGTAAAAGCAGCCATGGTCCAGTTTACATCCATGGGGAGGGGAGAGAAAACCCATTTCCTCATGGAAGGAGGGTCAAAGTCTTTACAGCTTTCTTCAGTTCTCCATGCTTGGCTTATTATTATTATTTTTTTTTAGCAGTTTTAGCTTCTGGGGTCTTCTGAGAATCCAGTGAAGTTTGTAGAAAACATACTCTCCCCACATTTTACATGCACTTTTGGTATAATCACTTACCCTGAAGATGTGAGAATCTCAAGTAAGGCTGCTTGATGAAGGGAATTGGAGACAGTGTGATAATCATTCCCTCGACGTCAGACCCACTGGGCTGCTTACTAAACCCAGTCTCCTTGGCCCTTTTCCTTCCTCCTTAAGCATGCTTGATGCCCCTCCCCGACCCTTAACCTTCTCCTCTGCTTGCTGGAGGTCTCCATTTGGAAGGGAGCTTGTAGTTTGGTTCTACAACCTTTGGTTGTAGTTTGGTGATTATAATTTCACAAGGTTCATTTCTCTCAGGGTAGCAATAAACCTATGAAGTATGACTGGGTCAACATTTCTCCAAATGAGTTCTTCTGTCCAAATTTATACCCAGCACCAGACATTCTGTGACTAGAAAGACAGGAAGGAAATCATCTTGGGATGGTATTTTAAAAGCCAGATGTCACTGCCATTAGCGAACTTTTAGGCTGGACACATGGATAACATTGACAACAGACTTCCTACTCCGGCCCAAGCTGTCCACCTGGATTTTGTTTTTTACCTGCTGAAGTCAATACAAAGATTGTTTCTCAGTTTCATTCTGTAAACTTACAGTGACTGCATCCCGCAGGAACTGAAATGAGGCATCCCTCGCTTGGGAATTTTTTTCAGAAACAATTAAAAGGCTTCTTTGGTGTTGTCTTTGTATGAGGAAGCTTTGCAGCCTGCTCACATGCTTGTAATGTAATCTCAAGACACAGCTGTTGTTTCAGAGAGTTCATTCATGTCAGCAACAATTAAACAGTTCTTTGTTTTCCAAACATGCTTCCCAGTCTGCCTTGAAGAGCTTGGCAAACAGTGACTCCTGCGGCTTGTGGAGAGAAGCCTTCCTTGGTGTGCCCCGTTCCTGCCAGTCTCGTTCCACGAAGTACTGCAGGGACACCTGTGCGTCTTGACAGTGAGGTTTTAAGTTTAAGAAATCCACAGTCATCGCTTTGACACTTTGAGGAGTGGCTGCTTGTTAGAGTGAGTTAAAAATGCTCATGAGATGGGGTGAAGCTCAAGCCACTCTCTTGCAATCACTGTTACCCTGTTTCTTTATTTTTTCATTTTCCTTATCAAGGTGATGTTTCCCTGGGACATGAGCCTAATAGCCTGTAGGTCTCTCCCTCGAGTGAGGTGTGTCATACAGGACAACAGCTCACAGGCTCCCTGTGAAGGCTTCGTGCTTTGAGGTTGAGAGCCCCTGGACCAGGGAGAACAGAAGGAGGGACGCATGATGTGATTTCAGAGCCTGGAAGCAGGTTCTTCGTCTGTCAGTGCGGTGAGCCTCTGTCAGGAGCGAAGGAAGGATCAGAGAAAGTATGCAGAGCACTGTTTTGTGTCTGTCTAACCCTTCCCCCCATGGACTGGGGCTTCCTTCATAGTAGATGGATGCCAGCTGTGCATCTTTACAAATATTAGTGTCATTAGTGTGTGTGCATCTTTCAGGTTGTGCACATATACTTTTTGTCATTTTAATTGTGTGTGTGTGTGGTAGTTAGAGAGCTCATCAAATAACACAACTTCTCTGTTGTGCTTTGGTTTCTAGACCTCTCTGCTGTGAAGGAGGGAAACAGGTGGAGCTGGGGTAGGTGAGGGGAGCTCATTTATAAGCTGAAAGCCGCCTTGTTGCACAGCCAGGGGAGGTGTTTTCCTCTCACTTTTTATATAGTCAGAACAAGCTGCTGGCATCTCAAATGAAATACCACTTTATCTACTTAACAACCAGCTTTATATTCTTGCAAATGCCAATAAAATGAAACAAAACAGCCCTGACCCCATAGTCTGGGGCACATAAAAGGTAAAGCTAGACAAAGTATTTCCAACTCAAGTTTCGTAAGTCGACAGATTCTACAAAGTCTAATGACGTTAATGTAAGAGTGTCAGGCATACATTAGAGTGGATATTGATAAGTGAGATTTTGACTGTCTTGCATGTCTGATGGCACACCCACATCCCGGCTCTCTTGCAGCCACATGGTTTCTGTAGTTCAAACTCCCCTTGGCTGGAAAGATGCCCCAGGCCAGGGACACTCCTGTCTCATAAAGTCAGAGCCTCCCAGGGAAGACCTCCAGGGCAACGTAGGGCTGCCATCCTTGGTCTGCATCACATAATACAGCTTTCTTATTCTGCCTTTGTGAAAGTCGAGACCCAGAGTCTCGGGTGGTAGAGGTGAACTTAGTCTCAAGTCACTAGTGAAATAGATCTTGCTTCATACAGAAGGAGGAGGATGCAACAGAAGCAGAGAGATTAAGTGACTGCCCGGGGCACACTCTGCTAGTGACAAAGCTGGGATCTGAACCCAGGTCTTTGGGCTAAGTTGACCTCGAATATTAAATCAGAAAATTTGATATGAGTGTTCCAGTCATTATAGATGGAAGGTTTGTATTTCCCTAATTTCCTGCGTTGAAACCTAACTCACAATGTGATGCTTTTAGGAGGCAGGGTCTTGGGGTGGTGACGTGGTCAGAGGGTGGAGGCCTCATAGCTGGAGTTAGCGCCCTTGTAACAGAGACCCTGCCGGGTTTCCCAGGTGGAACCGAGGAAAGGATCTGCCTGCCAAGGCAGGAGACACAGGAAACCCGGGTTTGATCCCTGAGTCAGGACAATTCCCTAGAGAAGGAAATGGAAGCCAACTCCAGTATTCTTGCCTGGAAAATTCCATGGATAGAGAAGCCTGGTAGGCTACAGTCCACGGGGTTGTAAAGAGCTGGAAGTGACTGAGCACACACACACACATGCACACACACACACACACACACACTCCAGTGCCTCGCCCCTTCCACCCTGTGAGGACTCAGAGAGAAGATGCCATTTATGGACCAGGAACCGGGTCCTCACCAGACACTGAATCTGTCTGTGCCTTGTTCTTGGATGTCCAGCCTCCAAAACAGTGAGAAGTAATCATCTGTTGTTGAAACTGCCTTATCTGTGATAGATTTGTTATGACAGCCTGAGCAGGCTATGACATTAGGTCTTTTTGTTTCTATAGTTTTACTGAGATATACTTCATATACCATAAAATATACTCATTTAAAGTGTATAGTTAAGTGTTTTCTCACATATTCAGAGAGCAATCACCACTGCCTTTTAGGTCATTTTAATACTACACAAAGGGACTCTGTGCCCATTAGCAGTTGCTTCTCAATCACCCCAGCTGGCCCACTCCAAGCCCTAAGCAATGGCTAACACTTTCTGTGTCTTTATGGATTAGCCAGTTGTGGGCAAGGGGGATCAATACAGTATGTGGTCTTTTGTGACTGGCTTCTTTTACTTGGGATAATGTTTCAAGGTTTGTCCATGTTATAGCAGGTGTCCATACTTCATACTTTTATTTTTTTTCCCATTTATTTTTATTAGTTGGAGGCTAATTACTTTACAGTATTGTAGTGGCTTCATACTTTTAAATTGCTGAATGACATTCCATTGTCTGGCCAGCCCACATCTGTTTATCCATTCATCAGTGGATGGCATTTAGGGGTACCCAGTTTTTGGCTATTATGAACAATGCTGCTGTGAACATTGTGGGCAAGTTTCATGTGCACATGTATTTGTATTTCTCGTGGGTGTGTACCTAGGAGTGGAGTTGTTGGGTCATATGGTTAGGTAACTCTATATTTAATTTTTTGAGAAACTGCAAACTGTCTTCCATTGTTATTTATTTATTTTTTCTGAGTTTTTTTTTTTTAAATTGAGGTATAGTTGATTTACAGTGTTGTGTTAGTTTCAGGTGTAGAGCAAAGTGATTTAGTTATACATACATACTTACCTATTTTTTCAGGTTCTTCCCTCTTATAGATTATTACAAAATATTGAGTGTGATATACAGTAAATCCATGATGTTTATCTACTTTTTATATGGTAGTGTGTATATGTTAACCTCAGACTCCTAAAAGTTATCCCTCCACACCCCACATGAGTTTGTTTTTACAACGAAGTGAAAATGTTATGTTAATAGCAACCATGAGCCAAGGAGACTTTTAGTCAATTACAAATATATGCATAACTACATAAGCACAATTCTGTATATAATAATACACAGTTCAGTTATGGAAAGGAACAAGACATTTCTCACAGCTAAAAATGAGACTGTATAAAACAAAAACCTTGTTTTCCACATCTCGAATAACTTGCACAGGCTCTATTTAAACCAGCTTATAGGCAACAGGCTTCTGATTCACAGTTAGACAGATGTGGCCAAGTTAATGTTGTCAGAGAGCTCTTGCACTTGGCATTTCTGGACATAGACGATGGCAACAGCTTTGTGATAAAGGTGTTAGAATATTTTAAAAAACGAAAATGAAAGAGTCAGCAAAAGAGAAGAAGACTGCCAATGCAGGATAGGACTGGATTTTACACTGAGGCTCTCTGAGCAGCTCGATTGAACTTGGCATCAGGGTCACGGGGATGCAGGCAGTGGTGTTGTCTGGAGCAGCCCTCATTGACCCAGCACACAGATGAGCCTGTTGGATTTTTCATTTACATTTCTAGTAAAGCATTTTGCCAGCCCTTTTTCTTAACTTTTCACTGTGTGTGATGGCAGGAATTCTGAGATCTATATCCAGACTCCACACGATCCTTGCTCTGTGTCTTGGGCCCCACCTCCATCTGTGGCATAGGAGTCATTACCTCCCTAGCCACTTCCAGGGTTGGCGTTCCTGGATGACAAGGACAGAGTGGGTGGCACCAGCACTCTGAACGGCCCAGCTCTAAAGAAAAGGCGCTGACACAAGCCAGGAGAGCTTTGTCCTCAGGTAGATGGTCTAAGGGACACTGAGAATGCTCAGAGCACTGACTGACTATTTTGTTTCCAGATCTACCTCTGGTTGATACCCAGTGCTATGTATAGCACCTAAAAACAGATTTCTAAGCTAATGCATGTGTGCATGCTCACTTGCTTCAGTCATGTCTGACTCTTTGCGACCCCGTGGACTGTAGCCCGCCAGGCTTCTCTGTCCATGGGGATTCTCCAGGCGAGAAACTGGAGTGGGTTGCCATCTCCTTCTCCAGGGATCTTCCTGATACAGGGATCTAACCCACATCTCTTATGTCTACTGTGTTGGCAGATGGGTTCTTCACCACTAGTGCCACCTGGGAAGCCCTTCTAAGTTAATAGGCACAAATGAAAAGGTAAAATTGTAAAGAATCAACAGATTTCCTCAGTGCATCAACATGAGGATTTCTTTGGCATGGATTAGAAAAAGCATGTGTGTGTGCTCAGTTGTGTGCGACCCCATGGACTGTAGCCCACCAGGCTCCTCTGTCTAGGGGATTTCCCAGGCAAGAGTACTGGAGTGAGTAGCCATTCCCTCCTCCATGGGATTTTCCTGACCCAGGGGTCAAACTCGAATCTCATATGTCTCCTGCATTGGCAGGCAGATTCTTTACCACTAGTGCCACCTGGGAAGCCACAGAAAAAGCATAGAGCACAGAAAGTTCAGAAAAACTGTTTTTACATTTTCTTTTCTTTCATCTCCCAGAAATACTTTAAGTTCACCATATGCCTAATGCTGCCTTTAGGGACTCCTCTTGTATTTTTGTTCAAAAAAGCAGATGTGAAGGCATCTGAAACAGCTCAGACATGTGATTATTTTATTATATTTTATATTTAAATTGAAGTATGGTAGATTTACAATGTTGTTAGTTTCAGGTGTACAACAAAGTGAATTTTATATATATAAAGATATATTCTAAATAAGAATATACACAGACACACACACACACACACACATACATATATACTTTTTTCAATTTTTTTCCCTTATCAGTTCAATTCAGTTGCTCAGTCATGTCTGACTCTTTGCAACACCATGAATCGCAGCATGCCAGGCCTCCCTGTCCGTCACCAGTTTCTGGAGTTTACTCAAACTCATGTCCATCGAGTCGGTGATGCCATCCAGCCATCTCATCGTCTGCCGTCCCCTTCTCCTCCTGCCCCCAATCGCCCCCAGGATCAGGGTCT